CGGTCTCTGATCCACTATCCTTCCCACCTGTCTGTATGGTAAACTGGTCACACATTGAGACCATTGTAGTCAGAAAAAATTGAGTTCATGTTTCATTAGTAAGTTGATGAGAGGCTGCCTGAAGTTCTGTAGGCAGAAATTGTTGTTAGAAATAAATTACTTTTTTTTTCTTTTTGAAGCTAAGGCCTTAGCCTAGATAAAATGTCTAAAACCATAAGTAGGCCAGTCCCAGGCACCAGTCACTATGGCTGCAGTCACTAATGGCTGTCATCCAGGTGGGGCTGCACATTAGTGGTGGTTGAGGGGAGTCCTCATTACCTGTAAAGCGCTTTGAGCAGAGTGTCCAGAAAAGCACTATGTAAATGTCAGGAATTATTCATTATTATTATTATTACTAGTCAGCACTGGTCATTAAGGGCCCAGCTGGGATAAAATCCAGCACACAGAAAGCTGTAGTAAGGACACTTTGGCTAGACTGTGCTCTTTGTGTTGCAGGTGCTGGGGGTGACCAACAACCCCAACTACAAGATAACCTTCATGCTGGACAGCGCGGCCATGATCACTGTGCACATCCCGAAGAGAGGCGTGGTGGAGGTGAGCGCACCCCAAGTCGGCTTTACTGCATTACGGTGCACCCCACTAGCACAGTTTTTCACTTCGTGTTTCTGCTGTGGCCTGCTTGCCTGTCACTGTTGGCCTGGACTTCTCCTAGCCACCCAAAAAAATGACTAAAAGAAATAAGCTCTTGAAAAAACAGTTAGACTAGTCTGCCTACTGTGACACTGAAAATGCATTAAGAGAACTTATGGTCATAAAGAAGTTTTGTTAAAAAGAAATCCTCATGTTTTTCAAGTTGTGTAATTCATTTCTAAAGCTATATGAACTGCTTCCAATCTTTAAGGTTGTTGCAATAGGTTTCTGTGCTCCACATTATTTAATCTTTTTGGGTTTTATATTGTTTCTTCAGTTTATTCCCAGGAAGAGGTCACCTTTTCTTTCCCTTCCTGTCATATTTTCATTTCTGCTTCACAAAGAAGCTCCTGTTTCAGAGAATCACCCCATGAGCTGTCCTTGCCACCTTTACTAGCTGTAATTGCAAGTTTAAGGCTTTTGCCCAAATATTAACTGTGATTACAGTATGTACTATCGTTATCCTATAATACTGCATATTGCCTTGGAATAGAAATCTGCCAAATGATGGTTAATAATAAAAGTGTTCATGAAAGTTATTACTGCACTTGTTCCCAGGTGAAACCTCTGGGTGTGATCTGGGGGAAGTATTCCGAGTTCTACAATAAGAAAAACACTATTATGTTTGATGACATCGGCAGGAACTTTCTGATGAATCCCCAGAACGGGCTGAAGGTAATTGCACCTTATTAAAAGGATTCAAGCTGATAGCGGCAGAGTCATTATGTTAACTACCCTCTTAATCATTTCACACAAGGACTGCACTGTCTTTGTGAGGCTCTCATGAAAAAAACCCTTTTATCTGTCTGGGTAGTTTCTGTGAAGCGCAATTATGTTGTTAGGGTAGCAGTTACAGTTTGTGTGCAAAGAAAAAACAATGCAATAGGTCCTGGAACTTGTCCTTGTGCTTCCTGGGTATATGATAGTGTGGTTGTAATGCTGTAGCACTGTCATTGAGAAGGAATACATTTAATTTGCAGGTCCCACGTTTATAGTTAGAGGACTCAAAAGAGCACAGCAGCCTGAGATTCAGAGGAAATATTCACCTCGGTGGTTTGCACACAGGCTGAGCTCTGTCCTGAAACGTGGCTCGTCTCGCTAGCCGGTTATAACCGTGATCACCCAGGTGGAGGCAAGACAGCGAGCTGATCATCAGGGTAGGGTTGGGCTGCTCCAGGCAGACAGCGCCTCCTCCTCCTGTGACCTGCCCTAGACGTGCAGACCCTCAGCCATGTCGGCGAGAGACCCCTGGCTCATCTGTCAGACGCTCACAGCTTGTCTGGTCATCAAGGGGGTTGCCGCTGGGCGTCTGGAGTTGTAAATTTCCTTGTCAGAAGGGGCCAGGGAGATGTTGCTGCCAGGGAGCCGAGCCTTAAAATAATTGGCTATTCCAAACCTTAGGAGAAGTCAAACTAGCTCTGACAAATTCACATTAGCCACAGTGCCTGCTAGTCTGTTAAGTCAGTTTTATGCACAGTTCTACATGTTCTACATATTAACTGCATGCATCTCTTAATCCTTGGTGACTTTTTGCTTTCAGCTATTTTAGAAATGCAACATGCAGAATTCATTCTGTTTGTGCTTCTTGTACACACAACTTTTATTTCCTTTTACCACAGGTTAGACCATTCATGAAAGCACATTTAAATCGGGATAAAGACAGAGAACTTTTCAAACTCTCCCAGTACCTCAAGGAAATCGCTAAGCTGGAAGATTTTTCAGATCTTAATCACAAGCACTGGGAAAGGTGGGTTGATTTATTTGAGTAAAATCTACACAGGTACAGTACATCAGTGGCCTTGCTGGGGGTGAGGCAGGGTGCCAACTCCTCTAATATCTGCAGGCATTCAGTGAGATTACCTTTGTTAAAGCAGTTTTTAATGGAAATATCTGAATTGTGAGCAGTCTACATCCTAATAGCTGCTGACATAAGAATGTTGGTGTCTGAGATGGATTCCTTGCTTTTTCACAGCCTGAAAAAAAAATACACAGACTCATTTCAAAAGCTTATAACATTTGAAATGAGGATTATACAGTCACCAAAATGTACACTCATCTAGACGTTCACTCATTGCATTTTAAAGCTCATAGAATTGTACAGTGCGCTTTTCCTGGTTAACAGAGGCTTAGTGAGTCACCAAGTGATTTTTTTAGCAAAAAATGAGGTGGCACATAGACAGCATAAAGTTGAGATTTACATACAAAGGTTAATTAGGAATTAGTGATCTAATTCTGGGTAAAATTTCATTTTTGGAATGTTCCTCAATTTCCGAGATCTACAAAGTGTGAAAATGAGAAAAGCTTTTTTTGAAGCAGAACTGAAGAAAAGGGTGGTGTTGCCCTAGGGTATAACCTGAGGAATTATTAGGAGTTGACAGGTCAAATTTCAGACTTTTTTAAGAATATCGCTTTACTTGCATCAAATCAGAACTGCATTCAAATCAGAGCCGTATGGTGACATTGGCTTGTGGAATTGCCACAAAATAATCCTGCATTACTCAAATCTGTACATCACAAAAAAATGTGTGAATTCCTTCCCATACTATACTGTAACCCAGGGAGCTCCCGGGTCTTCACCAGAATGTTTTTCGAGTCAGGACGTCTTTGAAAACAGAATGTAAAGTTGGAAATCCTGAGATGTGCACATGACCTGTTTCTGCCCTGCTGTACAGTATGTCTGAAGGCAGGTTGCTCATTAATTTAATATCCTACAAGAATTACCATTATTTATCTGTTAAATTGTGTTTGTCACCTATACATTTGCTAAATTTAACACTCAATCGGTCGAGCAGTTGTTAGTTAAGGTCCTAAAGCACGCAAATTGAAGCATGACAATAGCACAACAGTAATTGTGTCCGGAACTGTTTATGTTACTCTAAGATTCTGTGCAATAAAATGATGTGCTTTCTGTGACTTACATTAAAAGTCAAGAAGCGATTTCTCTACTGGGATCATTGCTTATGTGTTTTGTTTTTTTTTGCTTTGTTGGCTTACAGGTACCTTTCCAAGAAGCAGAGCCAATAGCACTTCCTGTGTGGAGATCTGTGTGCAGGGCATTCCTTCAGAGGAGAAGCAGTGCTGGACACTCACGCCAACGCCAAAACTCCCGTTGAGTTCTTTTCTGTGTGCTCTCCCCATTAACTGTGTAACAAGTTCAGGGCAAAAACTTCCAAAGCAAAAGAGCGTTTCTTTCTCCATCTCCACGCCTCCATGTCTTTCACCCTGTCAGTCTCACTCTTGTGTCACTTCTGGCTCCACGCCTCTCATGGTGTCTCAATCAATCTGCCTTTCACTCCTTTGCTCTCTTAACATTTCGCTCTCTTCCATTCTCATTCTGTCTCTGTCTTTCACTCTTATTCTGTCATTTATCCCGTCTCCCTCTCTCTGTGTCGCACACAAACCACACAGACTCACGGGGACCCCAACTTGACAGACATTTCCATCGGCCAGGAGTCCCTGACAAACCCGAACCTGCTTCCTGCCAACAGTGGCAGCCACGGTCTGAATGCACTGCCTTCACAGCACTGCTTTCACAGCCCTGCAGCTCAAGCCGGTAGCTGGTGTAAAGGAAAAGGCCAGGGGCAGAAAAAGAACCTCTGTTTGTGTTTTGGCCATCTTGACTTGTGTGTGAGCAGTGCCGTCTTGCTGGTATCACACCAGTGTTCTGTGCTGCTGGTATACCCACATGGCTGACACATACAGTCCAAGAAGACTGGGGCTTCTGTCATTTTCTCAGACTTTAGAAACGCACAACAGTGAGTCGCAGCGCTGGGGATTGGTTTGTCCTCCATTTCCCTTCTTGTGCTGCATGTCTCTGCTGGCCCAAAGCATGTCAGGCAGAGGTTGCCCAGCACAGGAGGCTTTAAAGCCCCAAGCTGCTATCCTAGTCCTGCCTTGTGCTTGTGGTTGCAGATTGCTGGGTTTACCTGCATTCTGCACATATGACTGAACTTCGTAACTGCAGTATCTGGGTTTTGTTTAGGCATAGATTAGAGTCACCTGCCATCAAGCAATGGAGTTCTTGACTGGCTGGTTTTAGGTGTGTAATTTATAAGGATTTCTTCCAAATACTAGATCTTCCGTATTATTCCAGTCCAATATTTATGTCCAACAAGCTCATAAACTTTTTGATTTCCATGCTCGTGAATTCAGTCCTATAGTTTGACAGGTATCAAAGACCTGAAGCAGAATGGTTCCAGTACGTGACAACCCATGTGACAGATATGTGTTTGCCATAAGGTGTTTACAGTTTATTCTGAGGTCTGAGGAACTGTATCCTGTTCAGAAATTCTATAATTAATTAGCTTTTAGAAGACAATAAGACATCAATGTCTTCTAAAGTTTATAAAAGACATTAATAAAAACTAAGAATATCCTTCTATTTTCATAGCTAAGTGTTATCTTCATTAAACCATTACCTGCGTAATTGATCAATTACTTAAACAAGTGCTTCTAATGTTCAAATAACAGGTGATTCAGGATGAACTGTAAGAATAACTGGACTGGGTCTATCCCAGGCTATCGAGTGTTGTAGACCCCTGCCTTAAAATATTTTGTTATTGAGAGCAAATGGCATTTTTCAGTGAAGACAAGTTGCATTTTTAGTGAGGACTTTTTTCAGCTTGAGGTTTAATTGGGGTTGCCTTTAACAAACCATGTAACAACAGTCTGAATTAAATTACATCTTTGTCTTTCTCTTCATAGTGTTTAACAAAAAACATACAATAGGATAGGCTAAATAAAGTCCAGTACTATAATTTATTACATTGCTTTACTGCCTAACAATATGTATGAGCAAAAAAGCTTATGAAGAATAAAATCTTCTGAAGAATACATAATTCACACACAGTAGCTGCACCAATATATTTCCATAAATACATTCAGTTGCTCATCAGGTTTACTGTAAATTTTGGCAGTTGCCACAGGCATGATGCCAAACAGCCATTGTGTGACCCAATACACAGTGATGTCTTCAGATATGTCAGATTAAGATTTTTTATCATCATTTGAAAAAGTGTATGAATTTAAACAAGCCAGAATAACAACTGATCATATCTTGAACTTTAAGTGTTCCTTAATAATATTGTATGTTGTAGGAGTGCCCATGGCAATTTGCATAGATTGGCGTCACTCGTTTTAAAGGAGAGCTTTGGAAATGACAGCCTTCATTGTGCAAAGGGGATGGTTATTCACCACGTTTTGAGCCCCGCACTTGAGTTTGCAGTTTGGAGAAAGAGTTTCCTACTTTTATTTTCTGTGCCCAAGGAAAGTGCCTTGGATGGATTTGTATGGGATATTTGCTGTAGCTGCATTGATTAGAAAAAAAAAAGGCTTGATATGTTTTATTTTTTGTCAGTTTTAGAAATATTGGTGAGCTCGTAGTCCGAATCCAATCCCCCAGCACTAAGCATGTAGTTCCTCTCCCTTCCTCTGCTCTCCCTCCTGCCCTTCTTAGGCGAGTCTCTGTGATGCTGCCTGGAAAAGGAATGATTCCCAGTTTCCCACGCACCGGCTCTGTCACATGGAGTGGCCATGGAGCCTTCCATTCTTCATTCCAGCGGAGGATGTAATTATCTAATTGCAGTGATTAGATAAGTGGAGCGGGTAAACCTTTCTCCAGGTCCTCCGCAGGCAAAGTTGTGAAGAGACTTAGTCAACATATTGGATAAGAAAAGCACTGGCCATTCGTGAGCTCAGTAATTTCACAACAAAACCCAGACGGGCTGCTATCTCCAGTCAGCTTGAGCTTTGTTCTCCTGGTAAAAGCAGATAATCCAGAATCAATGCATATTTCACTGCACCCCAGTTGTGTTAAAGAAGCAATACAGTGCCTGTAAAAGTCCTGCGCATCTGCTTTGTTTCTCGTCCACTGTCATGCACATTATTTTCTGAGCATGGTTGTTGGTTCTGTGTCATCATTAAACGGCTGAATAATTGTGTTACCTGAACTGCAGGTGATGTCATTGCTTGGTGGTAGCGATAGGCATAATTGCAGTTAATGTGACCATAATTTAACATGCTGTAGCTGTAGAGGCCAGCAATGTGCAGTTGTTGGCAATTTTAATGCAAGGTTCTGCACTGTGGTTCATAACTTTCAGACTCTTCTGCATTTAAAGATTCTGAAAATTTGACACAAGTTCTCGGACTTCTGTGACTGTGAAATAACTCGTCTTGATCCTGAATGGTGGAGAGTGCAGTGAATAGTGCCCAATTAGTTGATTTGATTAAAGGAAACAAGCAGTTCCTGGAAGAGCTGATCACTGTTGATTTGGGTTAGTTGTGCTTGTGTACCAAAATGAGTTTTTAGTTTTTCTGAAAGTTCCCTACAGGAGAGAAAGGGATGTGTGGAACCTGATGCACTGTGGAGATTCCTGAGATTACGTAGAGTAACTTTTTACATTTTTGTGAGCCCCTTTCGCGCAGGATGTGATTATGATCCACCGGACCTCTCCAGATGGCCTGGTCCAATGGTGTGATCTCTTAGTTCAGCACAGTGCCTCAGCCACAGCACCATTGCAGAGCAATTCCTGACACTTTTGTGTTAAACAAGCATTACATGGTGACAACGTCTGCCCAGAAGCCCATTTTGTGTTGATTGTCGGGTTGTTACATGTTAACCTGTTTAAAGTGGAACAAGTGATGTGTTAAAAGATTCCAGACAGGAACATATCACAGTTGTAAATAATAAAAAAAATGAGCCTTTTTAATGAACTTTGCTGCTCTGTGTATTATTTTAAACTCTAAATGCCACTGTGTGTATTCTGAAGAAGACTGAAATGCTGCAGCTTTGGAAAGGAGCTCTTGTACTTCATATCCTCAGTATTGATGATATCACAAGGAAGTAAAAACTAATAACAAATAGTAAACCCCGAATTAAATTGTAAGAGTAACTTATAACAAAATGATTTAAAAATGTTTAAAGCTGGATGTTGCAGTAGTTTTCCTGTTCAGCTGAAGACAAATCATTAGTTGTACCTGTCGTAATCTCCAGTTCCATGGTTGCAGGTTTTCAGAGTGTGAGACAACAAAGTGTTGGCTCCCAAGGTTGGAATTATCTCAGAAGTAGCAGATACAAAGGTCGGGTCTTTGCTTTTTAGCCAAAACAACAACTGATCTTATCTTGAAGTTAAAGTGCTCCTTAATAATATTGTATGTTGTAGGAGTGCCCGTGGCAATTTGCATAGAGATTGGCGTCACTCGTTTTAAAGGAGAGCTTTGGAAATGACAACATTCAAAAGACAAGATTGTGAATTTTTTTAAAACCATACATAATCTTCATTCTTTCTATTATAAACCAGCCTGCATATTTTATTTATTTTCCTTTTTGTTTTCGAATTTCCTCCTGCTCTTTACCGGAGGTGTTTGTGAGCTGGTGAGGGTTTCCAGAATCCCCTGCGGGTTGTAATTTTTTACCACCACTGTCTTTCTTCCTCCGAGCGTGGCGTTTAATGACCCGTGTGTGAACACGCGGCGAGGGGCTGTTGGGGAAGTGAGCCTGTGTTGGCCCGTCAAGGCACAGATTTACTGCCTGCTGTGCAGCACTAGTGTGTGAACTGGCAGCTTCACTTCAGTATTCCAGCACAAGGACTTTCCAGAGATAAATAATTGCTTACACTTATATAGCGCTTTTCTGGACACTCCACTCAAAGTGCTTTACAGTTAATGGGGACTCCCCTCCACCACCACCAATGTGCAGCATCCACCTGGATGATGCGCCGGCAGCCATAGTGCGCCAGAATGCTCCCCACACATCAGCTATCAGCAGGGAGGAGAGCAGAGTAATGAAGCCAATTCATAGATGGGGATGATTAGGAGGCCATGATTGGCCAGGACGCCAGGGTTACGCCCCTACTCTTTTCGAGAAATGCCCTGGGATTTTTAATGACCGCTGAGTCAAGACCTCGGTTTTTACGTCTCATCCGAAGGACGGCGCCTATTTACAGTATAATGTCCCCGTCGCTATACTGGGGCATTAGGACCCACATGGACTGCAGGGTTAGCGCCCCCTGCTGGCCCCACTAACACCTCTTCCAGCAGCAACCTTAGTTTTCCCCAGGAGGTCTCTCATCCAGGTACTGACCAGGCTAACACCTGCTGAGCTTCAATGGGCTGCCAGTTGTGAGTTGCAGAGTGAGATGGTGACGTTGCAGGAAGTCGAGAATTCCTTTTCACCTTAGAATATCAACATGGCCTATTTCAAAACTCATGTCACCTATGGTGGTTTTAAAAAAAAAACAACAACTTCGAAATATCCATTACACCACCACTCATGATAACTGCTGTGACTGGATGCGAATTAGCCTGTTCGACCATTTCTTCAAATGCATAGGTAATTATTCCCCTTTTCTGCTTAGGAAGTTTTCAAAAGTCCTCTTCTTTTGTTCTCAGGTGTCCAGTCTGATTTCAGATTATTGTTTCGTTGTGTACTTCGGCATAACATCTAGTGTAGCTGGTACATGACCTTGCACAGGTCTGAATGCAAGCTGTTGTCCTCATGCAGCACTTATTTTCTTAACAAAGTACGACATACAAAGTCATATTCACACAAACATTTATTTTTTTTGACCGCTGGGGAAAACGGAGGGAAAAACGTCTTCCCCAAAAGCAAAACCTCACTGATCTAATGGCAGAGAAAAACATGGACGTCCTCAGCAGCTGGCGAACCCCTGTGCTTCACCCTGCCAGAAGGGATGTGTTTCACCACATTCCCGGACTTTGGCTTTTGTGGCGGCTCAGTCCTCACATGCTTTGGAAAGTACTGTACATAGTACCTTTCTGAAGGTTTACCATGGTAAGTGTACAGGGTATTTTTGCAGGTTTTTCTGTTATTTTCAGACGGTCCTTCCATTTGGTTATGTTCATTTGTCATGGTTTTTCACATGGGATGTATCCGTCTGTACTATATTTCTTTTTGCCCTACGGTTATTTTAACAATTTGCTGGTGTTTTACTCCAGTATATTCTGCTTTATAGAGGTATATTCCATTTTACTGTAGTGTATTTTTCTTTCTAGCATTATATTTTACTTTGTTCTGTTTTACAGCAGTATTCCCTCTATAAGCTGTACATTCAGGATCATAAATGTCTATATTTCAGAAGCTAATCCTGCACTTCAGAAACTGATGGCTATTGATTGCCGATCACACTGCTCGAGTCTTTACAGCCTCCTCTATCCACAGCTGTGCAGTTAGCAGCTGAGCACTGCTGTGAGGAAGAGAAGAGATAAGGTGACAGTGATCGAGCAGCAGCTCCTTGACCTTCACTGCTCTCCCATGCAGAAGCCCTGCTTGGTGTAGCAGGAGTGGCAGGTGTGGCAGGTATGGCAACACCTCTTCGCGAGAAAGAAAGGCACTGCAGAGAATGGTCAATATAGCCCAGAAGATCATCGGCTACGGTCTCACCGAGATTAAACAGCTCTAAGAGGACCGCTGCTGTGGTAGAAAAGGACAGTCACCACCCCGGGCATGAGCTCTTCACCCCACTGCCCTCAGGCAAGAGATATAAGAGCATACGGACACTTACCACTAGATTCTTCAATAGCTTCTATCCACAAGCAGTGAGATTGGCGAACACATTTAGCCATCCCCCTCGGACCACACCTACACCATCACCATCTCCCTCTTTATGATTTCTTCTCTATTGCACATCTCCAGTCATTGTTTACACGTCTGTATTGTTTACATTCAAACTCTCTACATGTTTACTTGCACATTGTCTACTGTTTGTTTGTATATTGTCTTGATGCACTGTTTGCACTTTGTTTTGTTTTTTACACTTGTTTTTACAATCGAGAGACTTTCTGTAAGTAAGAATTCCATTGTGCCAGTACCGGTTACATATGGCAATAAAGTTCAAGTTCAAGTTCAAGGAGATACTTGCAGCCTGCTGTATCACCAAGTAGTCCTGAAACACTGCCGTTTCATATTTAAGGGCCTGGCTGGGACAAAAACAGTCCAGTGGAATTAAAGAGAATGGCCCTGGAGCAGGGCCCTGTGTTTCTCTGCTTGTCGTGAGAAACCGGACAGTGGAGCTTGCAGTTTGTGAGCTGAGCTGCCACTCATCCGCAAAGATCCCCTCAAACATACTTACATCTCAGTGGTTTCCAAGTCATCCCCCTTTCCCCGGCTTGTGACAGACCAATCTCCAAAGGGAGGAACTTGCCATTTGCAAAAGTGTGGTTTGTTACAACACTGGAGTTGTTGCCCCAGTGCTGAGGGACTGTCTGATAAACTGCACTGCAGCTTATGAATGTTAAATGCATTCTAGAATAATATTTTGTTGAGCAAAAGGAATGAAATGTATTGGACAAAGTTTTTAGCAGTCCCAGGAAGAGCTTCTCAACTGCAGTACTCCAAGCCCACAGGAACAGCAGCAGGCACAGCTGAGTCCCCTTCCTCCATCCTAGCAGGTATGGGGGCCACGAACAACACAGCAGCGCAATCCCAGAATGCAATGGGTACTGGGAGTGTGCAGTTCAGCTTCATCACTGCAGGGTGCCCTATTTGATTCCTGGTATGTGGCCTTCATGATCTGTTGGGAGTAGCAGCATTGATTTTCTTCCCCCTTTCTCCTGTGCCATGTGTGAGCTCAGAGCCCAGGTTCTGGCTGTGATCCAAAGGAATACATTAGTATTTTCTAATTTTATTCATCAGCAGGGTGAAGGCAATGGTGTCTGTCAGTGACTCGTTTAAGAGACCTTCCTCACTACAATAGCTTATGAATGAAGAAAATAGAAGCCAAAAAACCACTCATGTAGAAGATTCTGGGATTCTTTAGTTTGTTTTCTATTTTATACATAGAAAGTCACCCAGACAAAATTAAACTAATCTAGGCTTTATCTTTGCTTTATCTGTTTTGCAAAACCAGCTAGGGAAACAGAGTGAGGGAAAGGACATAAATGATATTGGCACTAAACCCACTCCCACCATCTGCTAGAAAATGATCCCAGACTTTATGGATCAGTAAATTACACATCATCATTAACCATATTAAAGCCACTGTCTATATTGCTTTGCTTAATGAGGGAGGTGGAGCCTTGTTCTGTACAACTGTCCACAGTGAGTTTAATCACCCAAATAATGAGCGATTGTGGCTGTTATTAGATCTTCTAATCCTAAATGAATGAATTAATTTATACAGCCTTTATGGATTAGTGCTGTAAATCACACTTGATGCATAAAGAGAGGTGGAAGTGTGGAGCAAGCTGTCCAGCTACACTGCTGAAGCCTGTACTCTGGAATCTATATACAGCAAAAGCTTATTGTTATTAGTTTATTTATTATTATAAAGTATATATTATTATTAACTTCTGGACAGAAGCTACTTTCACCTACATTGTTGGAATTGCATTGTAATTTGCAATTGCATTGAAAATGGTGAACACAGAACACAGGGCTACACAAAGGGTGTTCGTTAACTACTAACCACCAAATGGGCTGTATGGGCTAAATGTGTTCTTCTTGTTTGAAACTGTTCTTATCTTGGGATCAACTGACTGCACTCTAGCGTGCCAGATGGACTAAATGATCTCTTTTGGTGATTCGATTCTTCTAATGCTTTCTGTAAGCACAACCCTGGTCAACCCTGTGTGAATGTTATAAAGATCGATTTTCATTCCTTTGCAGACACATTCTGTACAATGATGTATCTACTTTATAGTCCTGAACTATATACAGTACTGTATATGTTGTGCTTCAGCCCCAATGTGAATTC